AGGTTCCTAGAAACTCAATGGGCGCGAGCTTTAGGGAAAATTTGATCTGTAGTGCTCGAATTAGATCGTCAAAATTTCTCGAAAACTACCTTCGTGAAATTGATCGGGGAAATGTGTTCCATGCATTTTGAGCCCTCGATTCCTTCTACAAAAGTGTGGTAACTTTATTTTGAACGTGTAGGTATTGGTTGAGTGCAGCCCAGAACTCTTCTAAAAACGCAGTGAATTAAAAACTCAAATGGTTCTTGATTGTTTCTTTCTTGAGATTTAGGGACTCGTTCCTCGGATTAAAGGCCCAGAATGAACGCCCTAACCTCTTTATAGCCCACCACTTGTTCCAAACTTAGTTATTTCTAATGAAGCTCATGGAGATGGTTTAATGGCACACCATGGAGTTTCTAAAACTTATGATATGCTTTTTGAATTTTTTTATTTTTATTTTTTTGTGCCGAAAATGTGACATGATGTTAATAAAGTTCGCATTCGTTGCATAGCATGTAAACAAGCTAAATCTAAGTTTCAACCACATGATTTATATTCCCCATTACCTGTTCCTAATGGTCCTTGGATTAATAGATCAATGGATTTTGATGTAGGGTTACCTAGGACTAGGAAAAGTTGTGATAGCATAGTTATTGTGGTTGATCGACTTAGTAAATTAACTCATTTTATTCCGTGTCACAAAACTGATGATGCAAAACATATTGTTGACTTGTTCTTTAGCGAAGTTGTACAATTGCATAACATTCTTAAGCATAGTTAGTAATGGTGATGTTAAATTTTTAAGCCACTTATGACGTGTTTTTTGGGGTAAGTTGAGAACTAAACTAGTATATTCAACTATTATTGATAAGAATCTTAAGACTTGGGGTTGGGATTGTTTGTCATTTATAGAATTTGCATATAACATGGTTGTTCATAACACTACTAAATACACACCTTTTGAAATTGTTTATGACTTTAATCCTTTAAACCATTGATTTTGTTACCTATGCGGTCAAAAGAGTTTGTGAATTTTGAGACAAATACCAAAGTAGAGTTTGTTCATAAACTACACAAGCAAATAAAAGAACAAATTGAGAAGCAAAATTTCAAAGTTTCCTCTTGAATTAATAAAGAACGCAAGATTGTCATCTTCAAGCCGAGAGATTGGGGTTGGGTACATGTTCGAAAAGAAAGATTTCTCACTCAGAGAAAATCTAAGCTTTTGCCATGAGGAGATGAACCTTTCCAAGTTCTTGAGCGTACCAACGAAAATGTTTATAAAATTCATTTTCCAAGTAAGTATGGTGTTAGTGCAACTTTTAATGTTATTGATTTGAGTCCTTTTGATGTAGATTACCATGTCCTAATATGGAGGTTATGAGTATCTCTTTTTAACTAGTCATGAGTGTATTTAACTTACATATGTTACGGTTTTCAAAGACTATATAGTCTTTTTTTCATTCATGGTAGACATCACATTTCAAAATCGAAAAAAATAGAGTTTTTATTTTAGGTTTGTTGAGAGCTAAGGTTACTTTGCAAATTCCTGTATTTAGAACTTGCATGCTAGTCATTCAAGTGATATTGATCAAACCTCTTGTGGAGTGTTCCAAATCACGAGTTTAAAAACGAGTTTTCTTTAATCTTAATTTTGATCAGCAAGGTAATTCGATATGTGAACCGAATAAAAAAAAAGGATTTGGAAATTCTTAACCTATTCAAAAGAAAAAATATATATAAAGAGAGAGAGAACTATTAAAGAAAGTACAAAGAGAATGTCCAATTTATAATAGAAAAATAAAATAAAATAAAAGGAAAGATGGGAGAGTAACAATGGATTCATATGGCCAACTTGATGAAAACACAAAAATAAAATAAAATAAAATAAAAATAAAAACACAGAAAAAGAAAATAGAATGAAAAACATAGAGGATAAGAGAGAGAAAATGGAAGATATATATATATATATAAAAGGAAGATCTAAAAAATATTAAATTATTATATTAGTAAATATAATAACAAACACACATTCTCATTCATTCGTAAAGTAAATCTCAAATATAAATTATAGTATCTAATAAATCTGATGTGAGTAGGCATTATATTGTAAGACATTTATATTCTAAGAAATATAAATCTAAATGGAAATATTAAGAATTTGTTAAATACTTAACAAAATTTAGAAGCTAGAATTACGGAATGAATTCTGTGAACATCTTTAATAGGGTGAAGCACCTTGCATAAGTAAGAACGAATTCGAGGGATGCAAGCAAGCTAATTTGGGGTTAGATAAAACTTCGGCTAAGTCCATCCAAGTAAGTGGCCATATTGTTGGCATGGTTATGATGTTGACATGTGTCCCGTGGTTCTGCACGTGTAATATATATTGATGTGTGTGAATTGTTTATGGATCGATATGCTTATGATAAGATGTGTATATGTTATAATATGTGAATTGTATGATAACACTTTCGATACGAGGTGTTCAATGATATGTTTGAGATAGAATACGAGAAGGATGCACTAAACGTAATATAATGATAGGAGTAAGATATATTAATGAAACACTAAGGTTAGGTTACGTATCGAAGTGCTATGCTATGGTACTAGAGCCAAGGTTTATTCATTAACAATGTCTACCATATCTTCTTCCTCCTCCACATCCATCATCTCCAACACGATCTCATCTACCATGGCGTCGACCTTCGTCACCTCGATGACTATCAAGAGTGAAGCCCTCACACTTGATGATGTGTTTGCACACTTAGTGGCATTTGAAGCTCGCTAACTACAACACCAGGCTGAACTTCAATTAAATCTTGGATATTCGGCCAATTATGATGATCGTGGTGGTCAGCAGAAGAACCGTGAGCGTAAGGATCATGGTCATTCTTGAGGTGGTGCGCCCTCTTGTCCTATTTGTGATCGTCATGACCCTTCTGTTCGTCCTTCTTGCCAGATTTACGGCAAAGTGGGGCATACTGTCATTCGCTGCTAGTATAGGATGGATGAGTCCTATCATGATGAATCTTCTTTTGCGGCACTGGTGACTACTTCCTCCTACAAGATTGATCCAAATTGGTATAGCGACACAGGCGCCACTAATCATATCACCAGTGAGTTGGATCGTCTCGTTGTGCGTAAACAATATCATGGAGGTGAACAAGTTCAAGTTGGCAAAGGAGCAGGTTTGCAGATTTTGCATACTGGTCATTCTTCAATTAATACTTATGCTCATCTACTTGCATTCCGTAATATTTTGCATGTGTCTAAAATTTCCAAACATCTTCTTTCCGTTCATAAATTTTCCCATGATAATGATGTATTCTTTGAATACCATCCTTGACATTTTTCTATTAAGGACTGACGGTCGAGGAAAATCTTATAGACAGGAGGTGTGAGTCTGGTCTCTATCCTATCAAGCCATTTGATGTCGATAATCTCAAGCATGCCTTAGTGAACAGATCTACTACTCATATCCAATGGTATGCACGTCTTGGACATCCTTCATCTCAAGTAGTGAAGTCAATTTTGCATCTCAATAATATTTCGTTTGCTAGTGAGTCACCTTTGCCAGTTTGTAATGCGTGTTTGTTAGCAAAAAGTCTTCAATTACCATACACTAGTTCTTTTCATCGTTCTTCGTCACCTTTGCAACTGATTATTTTCGAATGTTTGGGGTCCTGCACCTCCATTTGTTGGGGGCTTCAATTATTATATTAGTTTCATTGATGATTTCAGTAAATTTTCGTGGATCTATTTGATGCATGATCGTACAGAAGCTCCTGATATACTTTTGCAGTTTCAAGCTCATGTTGAGCGCCTCCTAGATACTAAAATCAAGTGTATCCAGTTGATTGGGGTGGGGAATATCACAAAATTCATAACACATTATTTTGTTCCTTTGGAATTGTTCATCGTGTGAGGGCAGTGCCCTCACACGCATCAACAAAATGGGTTTGCTGAACGCAAACACCATCATATTGTTGAAACTGGCCTAGCCCTTCTAGCTCATTTTGATGTCTGTATTAAATTTTGGGATGATGTGTTTCTTACAGCCACATATCTCATAAATCGTATTCCTCCTTGTGTCATTGATAACAAATGCCCCTTAGAGCGTCTTTTCCATACCCCACCAAATTTACTCCTTATTAAAAAATTTTGGGTGTGCTTGTTGGCCTCATCTTCGCCTTTCTAACAAACAAAAGTTCTATTTTCAATCCAAGAAATGTGTCTTTCTAGGCTATAGTTCTTTATATAAAGGGCATAAGTGCCTTAACACCGATTCTGGTCGTGTCTATATTTCTACAGACGTCATATTTGATGAGAATATTTATCATTCAAGTGAGCCCTACCCAATTCTTCCTCAACCTTGCAGTTGATGCATAATGCCCTTGATTTGTGTACCTTGCATTTGGGTAACAGTAGTACTAATTTGGAGAATGATCATATGCATATATATGTGCCTACTAACACTTCGGATGCCAAAAATTTGGTGCCCACATCAATTTTTGGATTGCCGTCACAATCATCCGCGTTGCTGCCGCACAAATTGATATCGGTTGTTACGCTAATTATTGGGACCTCGAACTGTCTACCAACAGAGTATATTCCCGCATCGCCTGGGAAACATCCGAATTCTTTGAGCTCTAATCTTGGGGACTAGTCTCCTGGCCCGCCTCAGAGTGCACAATGTCAGGTTGGGTCCTTGACCGCTGGTCGACCAACTGCTGTAGCACCGACAACTCCCCTCGCAACGGCTATCCCCTCAACTGTGGATCTTGCACCTACTGCTCATCCGCATGGTACTTGATTGGCGCACAATATCAAGCATCCCAAGGTGCTTACAGAAAGAACAGTAACATATTTTGTGGTTTGGTTTTCTACTCTAGCACCCGAAGAAAAAGAAAAAGAAAAAAAATCCAATCAAAGTCAACAGAGGGGCAAATGAGTCATTTTGCCCCTCCAACCATAATATGGGTCCTTGATACCCTAGCACCATACCTGCATAGAAAGAAAAATGTAGAGAGAGAAAGTTTGGGAGTGAGAGCAAGAAAGCCGCCGCCGAGAATCTAATCGGACCACCATGTAAGTAGTTTCTAGCCACGATCTAGGTGTAAGGACTCCTTGGAAGGAAGAAGAGGATTTTGGTGATCAGAGCTCCATTTTTCTATCAAGAAAATTGAGAATCCGTAAGGTAAGATCTTGAGCATTTTTCCAGATCTAGAACTCTCCGTTGTGAATCAAAGTCTAAAATTTTGATATGTTCATCTAGAGGGAATTCTCCAAAAGACGCACGAGGGAAACTAGTCAAAATTCTTGTCCGAAGGCAAAGATCTGAGCCGATTTCCAAGAACGTTGGAGAGAAAATTTCTCGGCGAGTCACGTGTCAACCGGCAAGAGGAGGAGAGCATCGACGAAAAAGTGACACATGTCACTCGGTGCGTGGAGCAGCGCGTCACATACAGTGTTGAGCGACGCAACTCCATACGACCATCGACACGCAGCAACTCCGTCTGACCCACGGCACAACCCAATAGACGATCCAACCTGAAGCCTTTGGTCTAGTTGATCCGCAGAACAAGCTGACTGAATTGGACTGCAAACTGAACTGGCCCAGCGAACCGCAACTACAAACAACCTGCACATGACACCTGCGACTAGACTTCGTCCGAGAACATGGAGGCACGTGAGGATGTGTGGCAACGCGTGAGGACACGTGGGAGCACGTGAGTTTCTGTTTGTCGTCCATCCGACTTCTGTCCCGATTCCAATTCTGATGATGTTTTATGCGAATATGACCTAATAGGGAAAATCAATATTTTTGGACACTCTATTTGTGCATAAACGCTGGCAAAAGGGCACATGTCAACCAAGAAAGTCACCGCCTTGTATTTAGGAAGAAATATTTGTAGGATTCGCTTGGATTACATGCATGCTAGTACATTTGCCTTAGATTAGTTTTCCATGAATGAGATTAGGAAAATTGATTATTATGAGCGTATTGGGTGAATTATCATATTATTTTCTCATTCAGGTAGATTGATTGTTATGAGCCATGAATGAGATTAGGAAAATTGATTATTATGAGCGTATTGGGTGAATTATCATATTATTTTCTCATTCAGGTAGATTGATTGTTATGAGCATATTAGGTGAATTATCTGGGTGTTGCTTGTATGTTTTAAGCTTCCGCTGTACATATGCATATGTTTAATTCATGTTTAAATTGTGAACTCCGTGTTTTTGAGCACTTGAGGAATGACATCACCCCGTTGAGCGCAAACTCTGCTTTCCGGGTACTTGATGGAGGTCATCGCCCTATGGAGTATGCATGTCTAGTTTTCATGAATTATGTATGATGATGTTAGACGACAACTGCATGCACACTCTGTTATTTTCCATGACCCATTACTATGAGTATAGGGATTTGTAGTTAGGAGTGACAAGTCACTAAATCTAGATACAACCTTCCCTTAGGAACCTAATAGATTACCACAGCGAAGAAATGTGTGTTCTTTAGCTGCTAGTTGTGTGAACGGTATCTATAGCTTTATGGGAGGACCAGGGGTTCCTGATTAGTTCTTACTACTCTTAGCCATTAGCCGAGGTAGCGCCTCATAGAGAGATACCATTCATTATAGCCCGCCATAAGGGATTCTTAAGTATCAAATGAATGGATGGAGAACCAGTGAAACTCTAAGGAGCAAGCTCCAAAGAGAAGTCCCAAGGGGCTAAGACTAGAACCAGACGTCCTAGAGCCAATTTGTAACGACCTAGATCCACCGCTCGCAGATATTGTCCTCTTTGGGCTTTCCTTTCGGGCTTCCCCTCAAGGCTTTAAAACGCGTCTGCTAAGGGAAGGTTTCCACACCCTTATAAATGGTGGTTTGTTCTCCTCCCCAACCAATGTGGGACATCACAATCCACCCCCCTTTAGGGCTCAGCGTCCTCTCTGGCACTCTTTCCTTCCTCTCATCAATGTGAGACCGGCGTCCTTACTGGCACACTGCCTTGTGTCTATCCCCTTCGGGTAACAGCGAGAAGGCTGGCACATTGTCTGATGTTTGGCTCTGCTACCAAATTTGTCACGACCCAATATTTTACTACGGACCGTGACTAATGACAAGACACAAATGCAAGTGATTTAAATATGAAATAAAGAAAATCCTTAAATTCCAATAAAGTTTTTGAATGACAAACAACCGAACACATGACAGTTTGGAAATAAATTTTGAAAGAATGCAAATACAAAATAAAGACTGACTGATGCCTCGGAACAACCCGTTCCTCTGTGATAATCCCCGTCTCCATCACGCCTGCCCTTGACTGACGCCTCGCGCTCCTAAAAAAAGGAAAACATAGCAAGGATGAGTATAAAAATTATACTGAGTAAGCCACCTACTTGTAGGCTCTCTTCGCATCTTAATTTAACAGGTTCCCACAGTTTCCTAATTTGGTTCTTGTACATCTAGTTCTAATCTTAGTCCCTTGGAGCTTGCCCCTTGGGTTCAAACGATTCATCGTCTTTTCATTAAATGCCTAGAGGTTCCTTACGCCAAGCTAATATGGTCGGTATCTCTCTATGAGGTGCAACCTTTACATGGTTATCTGGGATTACATGGTTTCTAGCCTAAGGGCGTGCTGAATACCCCTACGCCCATATAGTCCCCCTATGGGGGGGGGGGGGCGCGACCCAACTCGTTCCCATGCAGCTAATGGGTTGTACCGATGTAGGGACATATTTCCCATGCGAAATGGCTAGGAGCAGTAAGGACTGACCAGGGACCCTTGGTCCTCCCACGAAGCTATAGATACTGTTCTCACACTAGCAATCTATGAACACTCCTGAGGTACCTTGTTACCGTGGTAAACCGCTAAGTTCCTAGGGGAAAGTTAGGTCTGGCTAGAGAGACATATTGCTACTAACAGTAATCCCCTAAGCTTATCATAGAAATTGGCCCTAGCAATTAACAGAGTGTGCATGCAACCGTCTTCTAACCTCATAATATATAATTCATGCAAACTAGGCATACCGGCTCAACGGGGCGATGACCTCCATCAAGCACCCAGAGCACGAAGTTCGCGCTCAATGGGGTGAATTCATCCATCAAGCACCCGGAACGTGGAATACACAATTCCAACATAAATTAAACGCATGCATACATACGGCGGAAGCTTAAAGCATGCAAGCAACACTCAGATAATTCACCCAATACACTCATTACAATTATTCTGGCTAATATTTTACATGGAGAGCTAATCTGAAACAAAATAAATAGCATGCATCCAATCCAAGCAAATCCTACAAGTATTTCTTTCTAAATACCGGGTGGTGACTTACCTGGTTGACGCGTACCTTTTTGCTAGCGTTTCTTCGCTCGTGCGGTGTCCAAAAATATTGATTTCCTTAGATTATGTCCCTATTCATGTAAAAACAGTATTAGAACTGGAACCAGGACAAAAATCGGGCAAACAGAGGGCAACCGGGCCAAAACAGCCGTTTCACGCGCGCTCACGCGCCAGTAGTGCGTTGACCACGCTCGTGGACGTGCGCCAATCGCAGGCCGCACGCGTGCCTACCACGCGCGGCAGCCCTTGCGCAGTCGCGGGTCGGCCGATTCGGTCTGGCTCGGCTCGGCTCGCGTTTGCAGTTCAGCTCAGCTTTGCAGGCGACATGTCGTCACCTTGCTAAAGCTGCGTTGCTCCAGTCGACGGTCGACGCGTCCGACGTCTGTCACGCCGCCATCCTCCGCTCGCCAGCCGACCTTTTTTTTTTTTTTTCTTCTCTATCCTCTGTAATCCGTAACTTAGTCCCCTTTCTGATTTTCATATCCTTCGATCCGTAGATCGGATTGATATGATTTCTTCGGCAAAGTTCTAGATCGTGTTACGGGCTATGTCCTAGTATTTTTTTTTGTAATTTTTTGCTTGACTACCAGATGAGTTAAGAGCGTCGAAAATTCACTCACCGTTCTCAGATGATTCTCGGATCTCTGCCTTTGTGTTGAGGTCTCGGCCAAACTTCTTCACAGATCGTGCGTAGAGTTTTTCTTAGGTGAATATTTCAACATTTTAGGGCTAGATTCACATAGGAAAAAACTCAGATCTGAAAAATGTTATTCAGAACCTTACCCGCGAAACGTTCTTGGATTTTGATAGAGCGGTAGTGTAACGACCCTAAATTTCCACATACTCAGAGTCGCTACTAACGTCTCATGCTCATCTATAATGCAGAAATAAAACTCTTACATGAACATAATTTATAACGTAAACTTCAAAAACACTTTTAAAACAACTTCTTCTCTAAAAAACACAGCCATGGTCTTACGTGTTTAAATATGAAATACTGAAATTTAGAGAAAACAAAAACAAATACAAAATAATTTAAAACAATGAAATGCAAAACAACCTATTCTAACTTAAGACTAGAAATTTAAATATGAGTCTACCCTATGCACGTGCCACAGTCTCTGCTCGCGATGCCGCCGTCCTCCGTACAAGTGTGCCTTGCCTTTACCTGAAAAATGATGTGGCACACAGCCTGAGTATTTCAAAGAATACTCATTAAGCGGCCCCACCATAGAGGGCCATGCAAATGCACACACATGCAATCATGATTTAGGGACCTATCTCTAATCATCTTAGGGGTGGCTTCCAGTCTCGGACAAATTGGATGTGTAGTACTTCCCTACACACGACTCACACGTGCGAGTGTGAATCCCCAGGGCGCTCGCACACCCCCTAGACCCTCTGGTCAAGCTAATCTGTAGCGACGTCCGGAGGTCAGGGGAACTCCATAGTGTCATGCACCTCATGAACACCTCATTTGTGTGCATTCGCACCTGTGTGCATTCGCGCTCATCATACGGTGCGCGTCTGCACTCATCATCTCTAGAGGAAGTAGCCCTATGCTTATGAACATACAATGCATGAGGTCCCTCTAAATCCATCATAATGTCTCTTCTGACACAACCCTCTAGTCTCATCTCTTTGTTACTCTAGGTAACACATACTCGTGGATATTTATATTAATATCATTTACACTCTCTTAGGGTTGTGTCCTATGTTAATCTAACGACATGATGTAATATGGCACTCATCATCATATAGCATGCTCAATATGGAAAACATCATCATATTAAGGTAAACGTCACGCAATCATCATACTCATCATATTGCCACAAAGTGCATCAAACATATCAAGTACGACATTCATCAAAATATATATATACTGAGCACATCATCAAGTATCATAACTCACACATCATCATAACTCATATACCGCATCGTACGACATAGTTCATTCATCAATATTTCAAGTGGCTTGTATAATTCAACATTTAATGTTATATCCTATAGATACAAATATAATAATTTCTCATATTTTCCATTTTCCTTCCTCACTTATTTCTCTTCTATGTTATATTTTAATTCTGTTTACAGTACTTGTCATATAAACAGTACTTGCAATTTTCAACTCGTTCTAATTTTCTTTTCTTTCGTACTATCTTCTCTCTCTCTCTCTTTTTTCTTTGCACTCTAATTATTTTGAGTAGTTCAATTCTACCTCCATATCTGATTATTTTAAGCAATTTAAATCTAATTCTTTTTATCACTTTCTCGAATGAGTTTAATTCTATAATTCTTTTGAGCAGTTTATTCCCGGGGTTTAATTTTACTCCTATATCTAAATAGTTTAATTCTATTCCCAAATTTCCTTTGGATTTACTATTCCCGAATCTTAGTTTTTTTTTATTTGACTATGTTTTCCAGATCTTCCTTTTCATCCTATTTGCCAAATCTTAGTTTTTTTTTTTTTATTATTATTTGAATATGCTTTACAGATCTTCCTTTTCCCTATTTTCCTTCTCATCCTGTTTCCAAATCTTAGTTCTTTTTTTTTTTATTTGAATATGCTTTCCAGATCTTCCTTTTTCCTATCTTCCTTCTCATCCTGTTTTCCAAATCTTCTTTTTTCTTTTTTGAATTTGTTT